AAGACGAATTCCTCATCATCGTTGACGCTGCCGCCCACAAGATTCTTCAACGCCTTCTCCGCTTCCGCCCCAGACATGTCTTCCCGCTCGCCCGGAGCCAGAGCTACATAGGGCAGGTCTGCAGGAGGAGCAAACTGGCGCGAGCCTCCTGGAGGGATAGGACCGTATCGGTTCACAGGATTGGACGGCGGTTTAATTGCGGTGGGTTGGGTATTGAAAGGGCGTGGGATGGGGCGACCGTACATGTCGTGATCGGCCTGCTGTGGGACCACGATGGGTTTCTGCTGGAGAAAGCCGGGCTTGATGACCTGCGCAGCATCTCTAGCCTCGTTGTTCGCTGTGTCCTGCCGCGGTCTCAGTGGTTCGCTGTCGTGCCGGGTTAAAAGAGATGTCTACCGTGGCAACCTACGCCACGCACCTGGGCTTAGAGGCCACCACGACGTCGTCATCGCTTTCGCCCTCCTCGTCTGAAGAGATGATGACCGCGCCTTTGCCTCGTGGCTTGGTCCGCTGCGGTGCTTCCTCGTCCTCCGATGAACTGGAGGAAGAGCTGGCGACAGAAGAGCCCAGCGACTATGTGTAGTGTTCAGCAAAGTGCAGCAGCATACAGGAACCTTCAATCACAATCGGGTCTGCAGCAGTGCCCCGCGGGATCGCAGGATTCACGGTCTCACCCATCAGGCGCCGCCGTCTGCGCGTCTATCAGCAGCGGCACTCGGGATGAGCTCCCAAACGTACATGTTCTCCATTTTCTCGCGTCAGATGTGGAACAGAACGAGAATAAACACTTTCAGAAGCGCCGATGGTGATGGTTTGGGTTGACATGAGAGAACGAACCTACGCGCGAAAGGACGCCACGGTCACGTGATCATGATTCGCGACGCCAACGAGACAATTTGCATTTTCGGCACCAAGCGTCAACTATGCAGTGATTTACACCAGTGTCATCTTGGATCGAGCTCCCCTTTTCAGGCCAAGGAGCCCCGCGGAAGCTCAAGGGACACTTAAGGTGAGCTGCACGGTACTTACATTTACGGTCGACGCCGCCGACTCAGACTCTGTGCGTATATAGCATGGATGCCACTGTGGCATCAATCTGGCCCTAGTACTCGAAGTTACACTATGTACATCTCTTCACGGTCATGCATCAAATCGTTTCTTTTCATATCCTGCCGGTACGCATTCGCAGCAAAGCACCCCACTGAGCCACAGCGGCTCACGCCGCAGACGCCTTCTGGGGCGCAAATTTCCCACCGCCACGAGTGAAGATATCCTATGAGCGATATCAGTCGGACCTAGCAAGAGCAGTAGGGGTATGGAGATGGAGTATGGTAGGATAAGGAGGACGGTGCAGTGAGAAATTCAGTTGAAGGACGCGAGTTACACACCTTCATCAAGCCCCTCATGATCATTGTCATCGCTCGCCTGCTCTCCCACACCGGGCCGACCACGACCACACCGGCCGCCAAAAACGTCCAGGCAATACCGATGCCGACCCATGTGGTGAGACCTTGCACGCCATATATAGTCTGTGCGAAGAATAGCGGCAGGGGGATGGCAAGGACCAGGACGATGAGCTGGGCGATAGGTTTAGCAGCAGCTTTATAAAGAGGAAGGTGTGAGACGCACCAGTACCAAAGACGCCCAAGCCGCAAAGCGGAAAGCGCGCTTGAGAGCTACGGGATCCAGATCATCGTCTGCCTCCGCCGTCTCCACGATGGTCTGCACTTCCTTGATGCTCGCGGGCCGCTTCTCATCGCCGCTCGCACTGATGCCCTCGTCGCTAGCCCGCTTCTCTTCCCCGGTCGCGCGCTTCTCTTCATCGAGAGCTGAATGCTCTTCAGCTGCTACTTCCCGATTAATGGCGCGGGTTATTGCGAAGTCAAAGTCATCGGGCGACTGGTATCATATGAGGGATGTACGAGACTCAAAGGTATAGGAAGGGCGTACGATCAAGCTCCAGGTCAACGATACTATGGCGCCAACACCGATGGAAGCGAGGTTTCCCGCGAGCATCTCGTAGTCGCCGCCGCTCGTCTAGGGGAAAGGCGAGTTAGCGCCAAGTAAGATTAATACATGGTGGCAATTACTCACCGTCACATTTATCACCCCATCCGACAGCCTCGCAGTCGTCCCCAACCATGTGCCTACACCTGCCACCAAGCCCGTGATTGCACCCACAACGCAGCCAGTCCGGTTCGCGCGTCGCCAGGTGATACCGATGGCAATCGGGCAGACGGCACCGCCAAGAAGTACTCCCATGAAGGTCTGCATTGCGCATCAGCCTACTCAACCATGCTGGTTACATGGAATGCAATACGCACATATAGCCACCCCATCGACACACCGATGTAGTAGAAGATCAAGCCAAAGAAGCCACAAGCGATGGCATAGACGGCGACCTGAATGCAGGCCATTAGCGATGCGTATGGGGCCAGACTGCATGAAACTCACACATATATGCCCGACGCGCAGGAGCTGCTCTTCCGTAGCTTTGGGATTGATGTATCTCTGTCGCCTCGTCAATCTTCCCTTTAAGCCCAATCCCACCAAGTCATCCTGCCTTGTACACGTCATAGGTCCCAATGCTCGACACCGCGATGAGCTCTGCGCTGCACGCACTGGTTACAGCAAGGAAAAGCAGGATCAGAAGCGCGGCGGCACCACCAGGGCCACTGAGTGCGGCTGCTGCAGCGGCGGCAGGCAACCCGGCAGATACGTCGGCGGCACTAAGAGGGCGCATGTCTGAGTTGCACTGAGCGATGGGTATCTCGACAGGGAGCAACGAGCGTACCAGGATCCCGATACGTGGCGTTTTCATTCCCACCCAGCGCGACAGCGGCGAGGCCGAGCGTCGTGGCGAGAGTGAAAGGAATGGCGAACCAAGCAATGCCACCCAGTAGGTAGGCACGCACCTAGATTGACGCGCAGTAAGCAACTCGACAGATAGTAGAATTCAGTGATACTCACCGCACTCGCCGGCCGACTGGCAATTGCACGCTGCCAATACGCTTGATCCTGAAAAACCGTGGCAAAGTTGCCCACGATGTTGATGACGCCAAAGATGAGTCCGTTCTTGGAGCGCATAGTGAGATAAGAACTGCGAAGAGAGAACAAGGATGTCAGCGTGTGTTCTTTCCCGAGCTCGTGCAATAGTTACCCTCCCGCATTCCCGGCGACTGGTGGGGCAGCAGACAGTAGCTCATGCATGCGTGCGGGACTGCCAATCTTAGGACTACCCGTGTAGACTGTGAAGACGAAGTACTGGAAGTACGGGACATCAGGGGCAGCTGGCTGGCGACGGCGGTGTATTACGCACAAGGATGATCACAAAGAGCACTGTCGTATGCGTGCTGGTATGCAGCATCAGCAAATCATATCGAGCGAAAAGAACGCCACTCACTAATCGCAGAGTAGCGTCGAACGCATGCCTCCCACGACAACATAAATAGCAACACCAACCGGGATCAGGAAGCACGCCGCAATTGTGTTCATGCCAGTCAAGTCCGTCACTGTCGCCGAGCCGCCCAACACCAGCATCGCACTGACGATCACGTTTGTCGCCAGGCCGAAGAACATGAAAACGAGATGCGCCACGGTTCCCCAGCGCGCACCGATGATCTCTAGCCATGTGTGCGCGTATGGCGCGTTAAGCTTGAGCTTGGCGGCGAGCTGAGGAAGAGCACGACCATGAGCATATGCTGGCACTCCATAAAACAATCTTCGCATACCATAGCGAACAGCAAGATCTGGATCGTCGCACCAGCTGACTCTTCTATCAATGACAGAACTTCCACATATCGTGCCTATACGCACCCGCATACCACCACGGGCCACTAATACCTGCATGAACGTTAGTTTCAATGATACTCATTTCGGTGCGAACCACGCACCGTACTTGTACGCCACAGCACTGCTCTGCAGAAGCGTTGCCGCCCAGGTCCATGCTGACACGATGCCCGACGCGATCAGCGCCGGCTTCACCAGGGCTTCACGCTCCGGGACGCGCTGCTGAACTCTTCCGCACTCTTCGGAGACCAAGGCGTGTACCTGGCCTGCATCGCTGTCAGCGCGAGCATGAACGCGCTGAAAAACAGCCCGATTCCTGAGAGGCATGTCAAGCTCGCGTCTAGCGCGTAGTTGCACGGCGTACGCACCGACAACTTCAGGCAAAGGAGAGTGGGCAAAGGAGAGTCAGCGAGAGCTCAACTGATGGACAAATCACGCACCAACACCATAGCCCGCGCCTTGCGGCAGGACTGTCACCGTCGACATGGTTGGCAGGGTTGTGGAGGTTGAAAAATCGACCACCACGAGGGTCGGAGGGGAAGAGGTCAACGCTAGCCCCAAGCGCCTGCCAACGTATATAGTCGCGTCTTATCTCGTGTCCTGTTCAACATCCTTGAACCTGGCGCCGGCATGGCGGCGCGTGCGCCCCAACGCCCCGCCTGCACACCTATGGTCGCGTCCTCCGCGATAAGCCCAGGGATCATCTTCGCGAAGGGCTGGGAAGGGGCGAAGGTCATGTTCTTTGCCGGCGCCTATTCAAAGTTGTGCATTCTTCGCCGGCTTCTGATAATCTGCAGTGATTGAAGATACAGCACCGGTGGAGGACCACATTGCGTCAATGGCGCCGACATAGATGTCAGCCGTGCTATGGGTGACGGCGTAGGCGCAGAGACTCCAGCGAACAACCTCACAGTCGTAGCAGTTGCAGTCAACGCCGGCCAGTTAGATTACAAACGTTCATCATCATGATTCATGGGGAAAGATAACAAACAGGCTCCGTTTCGGCTCCGCGGTGAACTGTGTACATAATCAGATCTCTACCGCAGATCGCGCCGCGCAGTTGTTCCTCAAAAGGAAGGTTTTGTGGCCACAAGATAGGGTCATTTTCCCGTGAGTGAAGGAAAGGCGGCGGACAGCCCAGAGAACTTGGAGAAGCACGAAGAGACAAGGACAGGACAAGAAGCTGTTTTGGTTGAGTAACATGCAAAAAGTGGTTCAACCCGGGATCGAACCGGGAACCTTTCGTGGACGACACCATCGGAGATGTGAGACGAAAATCATAACCATTAGACCATTGAACCGATGCTAAGGACTCCCCCTGAGGTGGTGTAGGCCACTCACCTTAAATGTCAGCAGCTCCTAAGTAACTGCCAGTTCATGCCTTGAGTCGCAGAACGAATGAACACCATGCAGCAGCACCCGTCCAATTCAGGCGCAATTTCAGCGAAAGATAGCACTCCCCAGGTGAATCGTCAAGTCGTTATTCATGATCGCATAGATCGTAGGAGAGCTCTATTATACAGCATCTAGTAGAGGCGCACAGCCATAATCATACACACAGTCGACTGCTATAGCACCGAGATGAGCTCGCAGGCACGGTTTGGGCGGACAGACACACGTACCAAGGTCCAAAGCCTTGCCGATGATCGCACTACCAAGCTATTCCACCCAGACTGTTCATGGATGTGCCCGCCTCCGCCTGACGAACTTGGCCGACCGTACGCGGGACTCGGTAGCGTCGGCTACGGGGACCACTGCTGGGGGGGCTGTCTCAACCGCCTCTTGAACTTCCGCCGGATTGGGTTGAGCATGGATTGCCATGTACGCGGAATCTGCCTCTCGCCGTGCCGCTGGTACTACACCGTGCGCTGGAAGTACACCGTGGACGGCGCCGTGTGCGGGAGCTGCCGCGTGTGCTGAAGGTGGGACCGTACCGCGTACGCCCGCGATGAAGGCGAACAGTGTGAGAAGGGATAGCCACAGGAGGATTCGCGCCACTGAAGAAAAGAGACACAGTCAGTTCCTTTCAGTACTGCTTCAGAGAACGAGCGACGCACTTGTTATGAGAGACGTGTAAGAAGAAGAGACAAGGCTCGCTTGCGAACCTCGCGGTGTAGACGCTTCAAGTCGAACGCGTGTTCATGAATCGTCTCAGGAGGACAAGGCAAGGCAGCCCACGCGGCGGGGACGCAGCGAGATTACGGGGAGGGATGGCACGCGGCGTAGGAGGGTAGGCGAGTAGGCGGTCCCTGCGCAGCTGCTCACCTATATATGCGCGCCCCTCCGTACGGCACATGCATTCCCACAGATACGTGTCGGAAGCGTGGGCACATTGCGTCAAGTCCGCGGACAAAGGCAGGCGGGGCCTGCGTAAGTGCCAGCAAGCCTGCCGTGTGTCGGCTGCCCGGCCTTATGTCGGCGACCTAGGCGCACATGCAGGTAATAGCCGGGCGTGAAAGGGTACTGCTCGAGGGGTAGGCTCGGATGAAGGGCATGAAAGCTCGGAAGCAGGTGGTATAGGTTCGGTTAAAGACGTGTGGGCTCGGATAGAGGGTCGTGGACCTGAATGAGGGGGTACCGAGCTGAATGAAGATGTCTATGCTGGTGCGGAGATTACAGGGATTCGGTGCCGAGGGTGAGGCTCAAAAGCCCGCGGAAGCGCTCACTGAACGGTTGCAGGGCTAAATGCGCAATTCGCAGACAGTGTACTGTGTTCCGTAGGCTTCCTGTATGTAGTGTGAATACGGCAGCAGAGTACTAAACGTGATAGGAAAGGTACCCCTAGATATCTCTGCGTCAACGTGCAGATGTTCATCGATAGTGAACCGCCATGTTTAGTTCAACGTGCAAACGTGAGAGTTGGAAAGCGCGCTTGAAAGGCAGAATACGATCGTGACCAGTCCATTGCCGTATACATTGCTTACGACGTAACCGAAGTCGAGGCTTGATCAAGAGAGCGAGAAACAACAATGGGCGATGGACTTTGCTCCTGTTTGTTGACAGTCCCACGACTTGCAACCAGCCCCGAGGCAGGTGCTACGTTACCGTAGTCGCCAGGCCTGTAGTCGCCTCGGCCGTATGCTACGTCCTTCCCTGTACTCAATCTACATGTATGCAAGGCATCCCTGAGTATGCAGCACAGATCATCCAGCTGTACAAGGACGTAGCAGCACTCCATCGCTGTCAAGCCTCTCAAGTTCGCGCTGACCATTCAGCGTCCAGTAAAACTGTCTGCATCCTTGGAAACCAGCTATTATACAAGTATCTATCCTACCAATTAAGCGCGGTAAATCGTCCAGTACAGTAAAGGTGCCCTATACAACAAAAGGGGTGTAAAGAATAAGGTTGCAAGTTCGTGCGGTGGGGGGCAATTATGAAAGGCCCGATGGGCGAAAGTAAGAAAACCCGGTGGGCGAGATTGTGGGCGAGAATATGTCAGTCACTCTGACAGTGAGGAGACATAGGCGAGAACAGCAGCAACCAGAACCATGGCTCAAGGGCAGAACGCTCTACGCCCCTCACCCAATCCGCCGCCGACGTGTGAGCTCGAAGCCGCCAAACGCCGCGCCCGACATGTCCTCGCTAGACCGCTTCTTAGCGCCTTTCCCGAGCAGTGAGGCCGCGGAGCTCCCAGTAGCATGCTCCCTGCAGCCCACCGCCCCAATTGCTAGTCCCACCCCATCGAGCGCCATCCCGACACCATCGAACCCCATCGTCGCCTCCCAGCGCAAGCCCTGGCCTCGGGAGCCCTCTACCGACGACGGGCCGCTGAGCGACCGCCGGTTGCTCGCGCACTTGCGCGAGGCGGCGAGTGGAGTGGGCTGCAGGTCGCATTGGGCGGCGTGTTGCGAGGAGACGAGGTGTTGCGAGGCGGCGGGGTGTTGCGAGGGAGCGGGGTGTTGCGAGGGGAGGAGATAGGTATCTTCGGAGCTTATCGACGGAGTGGGCGGGGCGACGAATAGGGATGGCGCATCGAGCGCGAGCTGGTTGAGGTCGGTGAAGCCGTCGAGGTCGTCGAGGGGCTGGCAGGCGGGCGAGGTGGACATAAAGCATGCGGGCGAGAAAGGGGCGGTGACGAGCAGATCGGTGCGAGTGTTGAAATTGGCGGGCTCGTCGACGTCCATGGGGCATTCTAGAGGCAAAGAGGAAGAAGGAGTGTATGTTGCGTTATCGGTTTCGGGGCGGGATGTTGTGTATGCGGTCTGTGGTTGTTGTTGGATGAGTTGTCGAGGAGATGCAGAGACAGGGAGAGGGAAACATACAAAAGCAGGAGGCCGAGCAGAAACAGATGGTCGAGCAGAAACAGACAGCCGGGATCTCATAAGTCTATCGCGAGAGAGGGGAAGAGCCTGTGTGTGCACGTCAGAGTGTGACGAGCAGCAGTGCATGCGTACGGCATACCTGCGGGATGCGAGCACGGGTGCGCCGCAGACCGCGGTGCGAGCCCGCAGGCGCCGTGAAGGACGAGCCCGCATGCGCCGTCAAAGGCGAGCTCATAGGCGCTGGGAAGGACGATGCTGATTCTGATGCGAGTCCAAAAGGCAGGTGGAAGAACTGGAGTGTACGAGGGCCCATCGTCGCGGCCGTGGCGTCCATCGCTGCTAGATATTGCGGTAGACGATGCTCGATGTTGCGTACAACGGTGCTCAAGGTTGCAGTCAACAACGCTGTAGAGTCAACGAGGGCAACAGCCTGTCCCCCACGAGGCCCTGCTTCAGCACCGCACCCTACGTTCATGAAGGCGTGCTACTCACGGGCGAAAAGCACAGGCAAGCGATGACGATGACGATCTCTATTCTCCTGGCAGGCACCACCACAGAGCCTTCTTCTTTCTGTCTTATCTGCCTAGTTCAGTGGTGTAGCAGCGCCAGCGATGTCTTTCCTTCCCGGTTTTCGATTACAGATAGAGCCGAAGGGGGGCGCCGCTCATCGACGGGAGCTCGCGGCTAGCGCGGGTGGGCCGGTCGATTTTTTTTCAGGATGCCGTGGGGAGTATGGGAGTGAGGGCGAGGAGACTGGATGTAATGACTGAAGCGAGGCAAGGAAGATCAGACGCAAGGCAGGGGAACGGGGGAAACGGCTGTGGTGGTCGCGGTCGGGAGGCAGACGCTGCGGGCGGCCCGCACAGGGCGGCGTGAGACAGTGTGGTGGAGGTTCCGGGCCGCCGTTGTAGCAGTCGGAAGTTACCGAAGTTCAAGTTCTCTCATGTCGTTCCGCGGCGACAAACTCTGCGCTCTGCCGAAATACACCATCAGCTGGCTGTTTAGGCGCACTTCTGTCTCTCTGTCACTGGAAGACACCTGCAACTTTGCGTCGTTACCCAACCCCCTGAGTCATGAACTGGCGATTAGGTGAGTTAGGTTGGGTTATGGGTTCGTCTTCTTTTGGAGGAAGCGCTGCTCTGCAAAATGCGCCAGAAAATCATATTTTAGCACATGAAAACAATACGCACTGGGCCGAGGAACGATATTTCGTTTTTATGTCATTGTGAGCTCTGATCTCGTGTGAATACATGCGTACACTGAACACACATCCCCCCTTCTCCTGAACCGCGCGCGAGAAAATGGACCGCGAGACGGACCTGGCGGACCTGCATGACGACGATTCGCGGTATATGTTTATGACGTGAGGGGGTGTTGTAGGGGAAGGGATGTGGGTGTTACTCTATAGGCGAAGGGAGGGGGACGAGGGGAGCTGAGGAATGGAGGGGGAAAGCAGGACGAGCTGGTGTGTGAGGAGCGATGTGGAGCTGGGGAAGACAGGTAGCGGAGGAAGATATGGGGATGAGCAATGGAGGAAAGCGGCGCAGGACAAGGAAAGCAACGAGACGACCCCACGGCTGACCTGACTGATCTGATTACCTACGCATGTATCGATATCTCGAGTACGCGACGACTTTGTCGAAAGGTGGCAGAATAATCAGCCCCTCACTTGCATCGAGTACCTTCAATGCTCGAGGGGACACCTTAAGTCACACACAAACCGTCAACCATTCACCACGTGATCGAATCGGCACAGCGGACCCGAGCGCATGCACTTCGCATTTCCCGTTCTCTACCTCATCCGCCACTCATTTACGCCAACCACTACTCGCACCTCTATGGAGAATGGGAGCTTCCGCCTTCCTCGGGGAGTCTTCGTGACCCCGCACATCATCCGCTCGGGAGACTGCTGGCCCCTTCCTGCGGCAAAAGCGAAGTCGGCCCTCGTGAACGCGGCAGAGACTGCTTCGCGTGACGCGGCAAAAATGGCCTCGCGAGGTGCGGCATCCTTTGCGTGCTGGGTAAGACTGGCATCGAAT